ACTGCCTTTAAAAAGGCTGCAGAGACTGTTATTGTGGTATGTTTTCTGACACCACAACAATTCTTGATATTTCAGATATAGCTGATCAGAAAATGCTGGCAGAGACAGTCACTGACACATCTGAGTTCATTATTCTAGGGCTGCACTCATCTGCATGTGAGAGCAAAGCTGGCAATCTCAGTTTTCCTGGTTAAGAAATGGAAATTGAAAAACAGAAAAAAGGACTTTAGTCCCATGGTTTTCAAATCAATCTCTTCATGTTAGTGCAAGACTCACGAGTCCTGAATAATTGAATTTGACAGTATTCCTAAAGGGCACAATAGCATGAAGAGATGTGTCTCAACCTGGTGCCAAAGAGAGCAAACTTTTACCATAGACTCATATTACTAACAAAAAGAGTAATTAGAAGTAGGAAAGCATGTGTCATTTAGGTTAATGAAAACTGAATAGTACATTTAACAGTCTCTACTGTCATTAAAATTGAATTTTGTCTACATGAGTATATGTATACTTCCAATACTGACAGGGCAACACCAGCTCTTATTTGCCCATTTCTAAGTAGCTTCTGACTTCTAATTTTAAGTTTCTAATTTATGAATGGATATTCTTGGCAGCAAGGGGATGTTAAGGATCTCTTGCCTCTGTTTGTGCTGGATACAATTCATTAATTACCTTCCTGGATCTTGCTTATTGTTTTTCTAAGGCTGGAGGACAGCACAAACACAGGGAGGCTTCTGGTTTAATTGACCTAGGAAGTGGTTGATATATGTGCTCTAGTGTCAGCACAGATCCTTTTAGGCCTGTCAGCAGACAGCAAGAGTTTGATTCAGCTGCAGGTTCTGGCAGCAGTGGATGCAATCACACAGCAATGTTTGGATCCTTTCTTGGCAAGCTCCCAGATGTGGGTTTTGGCCATTGCTTGTCAGCCGTAGGGAACATTCTGCACGGGCCTGGCTCGTCATCTGCCTTCTCACCCTTCATTTCCAACCTGGAGATACAGCCACAAGAGAAGGCAGTGCAGCAGTTTGGCTCACAGAGCATTAGATGTGCTGCTTTGTTTGTCAATTAGAGTTAATGCCATTTCTTCTCTTTGCTTCTGAGAAGTTCCTGCCGTGGTGCATGGCTGGAACTGGATGCTCAGTGTTGAACGAGAAGATGGAGCCTTCTCTGCCCCACAAGTGAAGGAGTTGTTTCTGCTTGTCTGAGCCAAGAGCAAACAGGGAGTGTCTCATGCTACAGCAAAGGCACAGAAGCTGTGCAGATGCAAAGCAGAAGCTATGCCTTTACTTTTTCTAAATTCATTCAAATTAGAGCAAAAATAAGCTGAAGGTGCTTAAGCAAGTAGAGGAAATGGCACATCTAATCTATCTCTCTCCTGTGAAGATGTACATGCAGAAAAACACTGATAAAGAGGTGACTTCTGAGAGGATATGAGAACAGTCATATCCAATGTGACTTAACTTCCTCCTTAAACAGAGGAGAAACAAGAAGGTAAAAACATGTAAATGAAAGCAAGCATGAAGGCTGGTGTTTCTGGCAGACTAGAAAGAGTGGGGCAATAAATTAAGAAACAATATGAGATTATATTATAAGGCCAGTTATGCTCATGGGAACAAAAAAAAATATAAATTTGACATGATAGAGAACCAGAATCACTGGAAGGATGGCACAAGAGAGCACAACATATTTGGATCAATAAGAAAGGAGGAAATGGAGAGGAGCTAATGATCAAGCTAGATAAATGACCTGAGTCTAAATGAAAATAATTTTAAGTGTTGAAACCAAGATGAATAGAGACATTGCAAGGAAAGAAACTACAGCTAGATGGGGTCTTGATAAGAAGATACAAAGAAAGCAGATTTCTTGCTGTGTGAAAGTGAACTGAAGTGATGAGGAGGAAGCTAGCATGGATATGACTGACGGGGAAGTGCCAATAATGGGAGCTGCACAGAAATGGTGGTGATTTGGTATTCCACATGAGGACAACTCCAAGGCAGCAAGGCCAAGGAAGAGGGATGAAAATCTGACCTGGCCAGGAGGCAGCAGAGCTCAGTATGCAACCTGTAAATAATCAGCAGCTATTATGCAAGCATTAACTGGCAGAGAGAATTCCTGGTTCAACAGTACTCAGAAATGGCTGTAGGTAAGATTGTCCCAAGAGGTTAATTTAGAATGATGTTGCTTGTCATTAGCACTAGGACAAACTTGCACTCATGAATACTTAGGGTGCCCTTTGAACCTCTCTAAGATTACATGGATAAAAGAAAGAACAGAATTTGGCCTACATTATTTTGTCATTATACCTCATTTAATTAATGTTTGAGATAATCTGCTTTTAAATTCAGTCACACTTCACTGAAATTAACTTAACTAAATCTCAAACTGCTGCACTGACTTCTTAGAGCCCTAAACAGAAAGTGCAAATGAGAACAACTATAGGAAAAGAAAAACCCACACATCAAATCAAAACCTACTAAAACAAACAAAGCAGCCTCAGCAACTCATTTCATCCTCCTTCTAAAATGTGTAATAGGAAGAGCAGATTAACAAAAGTGGTGGAACCTGTTTCTGCATTTAACGATTTGTTAACCCAAGTACACCTTGTTATAAGGGCTGCAGTTACAGATCTCTGCATGAGTTATGCAATAAACAAGATTATTTCAGTTCATATTCTAGCGAACAAGAGATTTACGCATTATCAAGTGCAGTGGAGCTACTCTTCAACAAAAGTATTATTCTTTTATCTTTAAAAAAAGAAAAATTGACCAAAAATGGGTAATAAACAAGAAGTGCAAAATTCTTTCATTTACAAACATACAACTGCATTAGTTTCAGTAAAATCCAACTACTCCAAACATCAGGAAACCTTACAGAGAATAGTTCCAATATTTCCATTAAGTTTCCTTGTCCTACTCATTGCTGGTCAGCAGCTACAGTGCAGACCAGAGCCAACGTGCAAATGTAATGTTGTACTCTGTGCGATATTTTTCGCTGTGCCATCGGCAGTAAGGCAAAGCTGCGAGCCAAGCCCCGTTACAATGGTGTGGATGGAACCTTCCTTGGCCTCTGGGTCATTTGGCTGAATTTCTAGCGGAGCTACAGAGAACAAGAATTTACTGGGGACTTGGGGCTGGATTACTTCGCAATAAGCACAGGTAGGAAACGAACTGTGAGGCACAAACACCGTTCCGGCGCCCAGGAAAACGAACTGTGAGGCACAAACACCGTTCCAGCGCCGGACCCGGCGGGCGGCTCCCGTCCTGGGCGGGGCCGGGCCCTGGCGGGGGCGGTACAGGCCAGACCGCGCCCCGCCCCGCGCGCGCCGCTGCGGACGGGCTCCGCCCCTCGGGCCGGCCAATGTCAGCGCGCCCTTCCCCGCCCGGCGCCGCCATTGGCCGGCGCCGCGGCTTCCGCCGAGGGCCGGGATTGGCGGCGGCGCGCGGGCGCGAAAGGCGGCGGCAGCGAAAGCCCGGCGCGCGCCGGTGTCCGCGTGAGTGCCCCCCGCTCCCTCCCCCCTTCCCTCAGCCTCGCCCGTGCCGCCCCGGCACCCAACCGGGACCGAGCCGGGACCGAACGGAGCCGCGCCTCTGGGGGTCCCCGCTCCGCGCACCCTCCGCCCCTCGGTGCCCGCCATCCCCGCGGGGGCGGCTCCCCTGGCCGGCCGGAGTGGAGCCGAAGGGCCCGTGTGCGTCCCGTCCCCCCGGGGCCGATGGGGAAGGCCGCGGGGTGCGCTGGGCCCGGGGCCTGGCTGGCGGGGGCTGTCCCGTTAGGGCAGTGCCGAGCTCGGGCTGTTCCCGCTCGGTGCGGCCCTGGTGCCAGCACCGGGGTTCGGACGTGTGCCGGCTCTCGCTCGCCGGTAGCGGACGGCAGCTCTGTGTGGTAGCTTGCCGTGCTCGCGCTGCTGCTGAGGCCGTGGTGGTGCGCGATAGGAACGGGCCAGTGTGCCTGCTCACCTCTAGCAGAGAGAGTGCCGAGCTGTGAGACTGGAACCGCCTCCAACCCCGTTCCAGCAGCGTCCCAGGCCCTCTGCACCAAAGCTCCCGCAAAAAACGGGGCTCCAAAGAGACGGCTCCTGCCTCTCGGCCCTGTTGTTGCACAAGGATGACAGAGTAAAGGGAGCTCAAATTCTTTGGGGACAAAATGTATTTCTGGCTCCACAGCTGAAACAGATGCATCCTTTCATCAGGAGTTTTTCAGAATTTGTTTCCCCTGTGTGGAAAAGTTCGTCCAGATCTTTAAAGATTTGGCAAAGTAACAAGGAAGGAAAGTTTTTCAATGGAGCCAGTTTTAGTAACTGTCAGAGCTGCTGCTTCCAGGCTTATTTATCACTGGTATTACTGCCCTGGGAGTCCCTGCCACTCTTTTGCTCCTGAAAAGGGATTATCAGGGTTTTTTTGGTTGTACAGTACTAGTGGACTTTACTAGTTCAGTTTTACATAGTGTTTCCAAGATTTGGGAAAAAGCATTTCAAAATAAGCATGTTCTGTTTTTCTTGTGGTGGGAGGGCAATGAATAATTATGTTTTGCTGAATTTATCTAGGAGGGAGAGATTTCTCATATGGAGAAGGTATTTTTTTTCTCTTATAATTTCTTTCAGTCTTTCTGGCTTTCTATAGCTTTTGCAGTAGGCAGTGCAGCTATTTCTGTGTGCATCCATTCCTTGCCTTTCAAAGCAAACTTTAGGGAAAAGACAGTGCTTTAATGTGAATGAGGAAACACGAGAGATGAAAGTCAGTTGTATTTAAGCTTATCCTGCTTAAAGTCTTCCTTCCCTTTCCCTCCCCCTTCTATCCTTGTTGCTTTACTGGTTTACTGTTTCACTGGGATGGTGGGTGGCACTTTGTTTAGGTAGCACAGAGGAACTCCCCAGACTCCCTAAATCTCATCTCAGGAACTGAGTGCAGGGCTAGGAAGTGTCTTACCAGATATGCTTGCTCCCCCAGGTGTCCAGAAGTGGCCCTCGGAGTCTTGGATTTTTTTTACTCGAGAGTTGTTTTGTGATGGAGGCGGTGTTGAAGTCTCCCTGTGATGAACAGCACCCTCAGCAGGCTGAAGACTTCCACGGGAATCTGGAGCAGAGCAGCAAGCCTTCAGGTATGTGCTGAAACAGGGACTGTGAACATTACATTTTGTTGCTGACAGGCTGCTTCATAACTTAGGGAAATTTCAGTATTGATTATAAGCCTGTCTATGTAATCCTTTTGTATAAAGAATTAATGAAATGAAAACATTTGAGGTGGCTTTTGATTTTCCTGTTTGCTGTTTGTGTGTTACAAAACTTCAGCAACTGTAGTTTTGCTAAACCTACTATTAATATATTACAGAACATGTTATTATAAGAGGATACCAGAATAAAAAAAGCCAGCCCTTGAGAATAAAACTGACCAGACAAGTGCACAAACCCAGTATTTTGCCCAGGTTGATGCTGAATACTGCTGGTATTGCTTTGCAAATATGAGAAAAAATCACTTTAAAATCTGCTCACAGAAAATGCTGGCTAATATTATTGGTACCATTACCCTGATGGCACAATGACTGTATGCTCTCTGTACCCAGGTAAGGATTCAGGCCCCCAGAACAGAGCAGGTGATGTCTACACTGCTGTCCTTTAACAAGGACACTCACTGACTTGTTCCAGCACTTCTCTCTTTCACCCAAACCAGCTCTGCTGAGCTCCTAAATGCTGTCAGTGCCTTGGGTAGGCACTGCAGCCTCTGCCACCCTGCTTGAAATGGTCTGACAGCTTTAACTTTCTCCAGGGAGTACTCTCAATTAAGTGTTGGACAAAATGGGGTATCTGGCAGGTTCTATAGCAGTTGTTGAGTTAGTTCTCCATGGTTGTTAGTATATACCTTAAGATTTTTTTATTCTTGAAATATTTCCCAAAATGTCTTAAAACAATTTGAAGAAGACAAGAGAACAACTTAAAGGGGGAAAAAAACAGAATGTAAATAGATAGTTAAGTGAAGAAGCAGGTGTCACTTTTTAGAAGCATTTTTAGAATGTTAGTTTTTATAAAATCTTGAAATAAAAAAAAAAAAAGAAAGTTATCTAGGACTTGAATTACTAGCTGATTTATTGGTCTTTTAGAAGGAAGAAAGTGTTTTTCAGGCAGTTTCTGTTGTTGTTTAAAGTAAGCTACATAGAAGGCTAGGGATGCATGCTAATCCATTCTAGCATATCTATGATTTTTTAAAAAAATGTCTTATTGCTTCTGATTTACTGCCCTGGGGAAACACGATCCATTTTTACATATAGACTACATTACAATTTATCTGTTTATGCTAAATTTAGTTTGGTTTTTTTTAGAATGAAAAATGTATACACATTTGATTGACTTTTCAAATACCAGTTTGTGCTTAGTTCTGTATACTGAGATACTCTTTACCCCTGCTTCACAGAAATTAGTTACAGCCTCTACTCAATTGATAGCTTCAAAAGAAGTGAATTCTTATGTGGGATATAGAAAAGGTTTGAACAACAAGGATTTGTAAACTGAATGGAAAATGACATGATTTTTATGAAATAATCCAGTACAGCATCCTTGTCGTGCCATCTAGTGATTGCAGCATGAAGTGCAGCAGCTGAAATGCACAGCAAACATGGGCTTTGGTGCCAGCTATTTTAAGTAACATTGGGGAAGATTGCATTACCAATCTTAAAAATATCTAAAAAATACTACTTTTTCTGCATTTGTGATTTGCATCTGATGGATTTGCACCTGTGCTTACCGAAATTATTGTTATAGTTTTGCCTTTTGTCAAATTGCTGTTGCAAATTCCACGTAAACATTCAGTGATGAGCTGTAGGTGTCCTACAAACCAGGCAGCTTTTGCCCTCTCAGAATCTGCTTTATGTCATATAAAAAAAAAAATTGTTTAAAGGCTGCAGCTTAGAAAGGAGTCTGATGAAGAACAGCAATATCAAGTATCCACATGGTAGTGTCAAGAGGATAGGATACCTTTGTGCTGTTCTTTCCTCTGTATATGTGAATCCACAGTCCTATGAAATGTAATTTGTGATCTCCAAAATAGATCAGATATTGAATCAAGTTCAATAAAATTTCTAACTTATTTTCCCCATTCTTCCCACAGCAGGAGTAAAAAAAGATATTGAAAAACTTTATGAAGCAGTGCCACAGCTTGTAAATGTGTTCAAAATAAAGGAAAAAATCGGGGAAGGTAAATGTTTCATTTCATCTTGCTTGGAGGGAAGATTTCTTTTGGCATTTCTGACTTAAAAAGTATAAATATAAGATCCCAAGTGGTCTCTATAGGAATTCTTTCTGAGCACATAGGTGTATTAATTAGGAACACTTTCAAGCTATTTTCTTGAAAATCTGGTATATTAAAGCCTTTTAAAAAACAGCATTCCAATTTTGGCAATTAAAAACTTTTTAGGTAGATTCAAGTAAATAGTCTTAAAAATCCATTCGTTTTTCTCCCTTACATGAGAAATCTACTTATGTGTAGCTGTGTTTTGACATGCTTAATTGGTGTTCCTTAGGTTAGCTTTGTTTCCAGTAAAATCTCTTGGGCAGAAGTGGATAAGGAAACTGAAAGATTGGAACTGCTTTACTTAAAAAATGAACAATTTTTATATTTTTGAAGACATACAGGATCAAATTTTAGAATGCTTGTGTTCACCTTGCCTTCACCAAAACAGTATTGCCAATACCTTAAATTAGTGTCAGCCATTACTATAATATATATAATAGATCCAGGTACTTCTCAGTGCGGGATTTCAGCACTTTTTTATGTCTAAGATGCCTAAGAGTTTTTATTTCAAAAACCACCAAGCTACTTAAAAACCCCCAGCTCCATTCCCCATAGGAATGTAAAATTAAAAAAAAAAATACTTTTACCTATCACAAAAGATTGTGTAATTAAACAAAATTTCTGGTTACGAATAATACTATGATTTTACTCTTGGGAACAAACAATGTTTTTTAAAAATACCATTTGCAGTACAACAGCATTATGAGAAAACAAGCTAACTTAAGATTCCACTGTGGAATCACTTTCATTTTAGTAGTTCTCACCACCAAAAATAATGTCTTAAGTCAAATTTGGTAACCCTTGTTGCTGCAATCAATTCTGTTGGAAGTATGGGTCTCCAGGTTGTTTGGGATTTTTTTTATGCTGGCATGAAGTATTTAGGTTTTGTTGGCATTTTGATGTATGCTTGCACTCAGACTGTTGAACCAGTATGATGCAAACACATTACTTAAAATGTAATCAAAAGTAATTTCTATTTATTCATATGGAAGAACACTTCAACTTGTATGTTCAGATATCTCAGATCATTAGGATAAATTAACCTCCTAAGAGGCTTATTAGGATATTCTTAAAATTAAATGGCTGGGTAAGCTTATCATAGAGGCTGAATACTCCCTTTCTCAAGCAAGGGATCTCACATTGGATGTGGTAAAATGCTCTGGGCAGATAAACAGTGCAGTGAGACATCATGTGGGAAGCCTTACTTTATAGATAAAGTACAGAATTAAGGAAAATGTAGCAATTTCAGAAGTGCTTTGAATAGCACTGGCAGTGCTTTCCAGATTAGCATTATGTAGTCCTCTTACATTGTAGGGAGAGGAGGTAGATGTCAGATGAAAGTAAGCTACCTAAACAAGAAAGCAAATCAAAGATAGGAAATTTACATTCAAAGAGCACTGTGTCCCAGGCAAGTTAGACAGTGTTATATTTGCATTTTTACTGACATAAAAAACTTGTATACAAGATCAGTATATTCAGTAGTAGAAAAAAGGAACTGGGTTTTTCTCTTCTAGAATCTGCTTTTGATGTAGTATCAAGTGTACTGCAGGATTGTGAAGAGTCAGATCATTTCTGTAAAAATCTGCATTGACCTAATTAAAAATGTTGAAGACTGTGTTTTTCTCCTTTGTTTACAGGTACTTTTAGTTCTGTTTACTTGGCCACAGCACAGCTACAAACAGGATATGAGGAAAAAATGGCTCTGAAACACTTGATTCCAACCAGCCACCCTCTGCGAATAGCTGCTGAACTTCAGTGCCTCACAGTGGCAGGGTACATAAACTAAAAAATTATGATTTTCATAACAGCTGAACGCTGTCTCACTGTTCTGTATTTAAGTTTTGGCACTTCTCTTGATTTGTATTTAAACACACACAAATATATTCTTTTTCTTGAGAGCAATTAACAAAAGGAGTGTCTTACCTGTAATGGATGCCCTTTGCTGCTGGTCTCAGTTTGGAGGGGTGCTCTATTTACCAGCTGAGAAATTCCATTATATATCTTTGAGGCAACAAAGTCCCAGTTCTGAAATGCTTGGAGAAAAGAATCACTTCATTAGAAATGTGGTTTTAGGAATGGATATTTGTTGGTGGAAGGTGCTGAATAGCACTTTCATAAAGTAGCAGGATCATGAAAGTTAGGGCCTATATTAATTGCAGTGGTAACTACAAACTACAGCCCCACAGATAATCTGTAGAGTTCTATTCCAAACTGGAGAATAGAGCATAAAATGGAGCATAGCTGTGAGCAGCAAGAGCACAAGTGCTGATTGCTGATAAGACGGCTGTCAAAATATAAATTAGGGTTAAAAGAAAGCTTGACTGAAGTTTTATTTTGAAAAAATAAAGAAAAATAAATATCCATCCTCTGTTCTTTGTTCGGTAATACTGCTTTTCTTCTAGGGGACAAGATAATGTTATGGGAGTTAAATACTGCTTTAGGAAAAACGATCACGTTGTTATTGTTATGCCGTATCTGGAGCACGAGTCCTTCTTGGTGAGTCTCAGACTTGTGATATGTAGTAAAACATTTAATTAAAAGCAGATGCATAATTATTCTATAATTCTATAAATTACGGTATCCAAATATCCTTTCAGGACATTTTGAATTCCCTTTCCTTTGAAGAAGTGAGGGAATACATGTTTAATCTGTTTAAAGCGTTGAGGCGCATCCATCACTTCGGCATTGTTCACCGTGATGTCAAGCCCAGCAACTTCCTCTACAACAGGCAGCTGAAAAAGTGAGTCTGGCCATGCTGTGATCTCATCTGGGGAATTGTGCCTTGGCAGAACAGAGTCAATTACGTTTTTAAGCTTCTTTCCTTCCAGCTCCATAACATGTGCTTAAATAATAAAGCTGAAACCATGGGGTTTTATTTGTAAAATTTTTCTTTCATTGTTAAGGAACTTAAGAAGGGAAGGATTTTTTTTACTTAAGGTAGTATCTGCTTCATAGAGTGACAAAGACCTGATAAAATGAAGATTTTACTACTGAGTTAAAGTACTACATTTTCAAATAAGAATGAGAAGAATAAAATATGGGGGTTTTTTTAAATAAGAAAGTCAATTGTAACTTGTGGTACAAAAAATGATCCTTGTACATTTTTAATAGTGGATAGAGTAAAACTGATACAGGTAAGATAGCTGGCTTTGGGCTGTTTTCACCTTACCTTGAATTAGTGTTTATAACTAGTAGAGTCAGCTCTTTTGCCTGCAAGTTACAAAATTTAAAGATTGTAAAAAGCGAGGTACTGCTTCTTTGTGAAGAGCTGAAGTAGTCAGAGAGCTACAGTGCTAGCAGTCCTATAGCTGTATTTGTTAGCATAGTGCTTGCAAAGTTAAGACACTGAGGTATTGGAGTGTGTCCAAAACAAAGCACTGTAGCAGGATGCACATCCCCAGTGTGGAAATGATAGGAAACAGCCTCAAGTTGCATCAGGGAAGGTTTAGATTAAATATTAGAAAAAAGTTTATCAAGCATTGGAATGGACTGTCCAGGGAAGTGGTTGAGTCACCATCTCTGGAGGAATTTAAAAGACCTGTAGATCCAGCACTTAGGGACTTTGTGGGACTTGGCAGAGCAGGGTTAACAGTTGGACTTGATTTAAAAGGTCTTTTCCAGTCTAAATGTTTCTGTGATTCTATGCAATGAAAGTTTGTAGGGGAGGTTTGATTGCATTTTGCCAAACCACAAGCTTAAAAGTTTGAGAAATACTGTTTTGGATTTTTTAATCTGTCAAAATGAACATGTACTGTCATTTTGCTCTTCCTGCATTTTTTGAGCCTTAATCTCCACTTTGTGTTTAGAGGTGTGGAGTTGAGTTTGAGACCTGGGGACAGATAGATTGTCTCTGTACTGGTTGTAGCAAAAAATAATCCTTTTTAGAGACAAATCTGAAGTGTGAACTAATGTAGCCTTACCTGTTTGAAGACTAAAGTAAATTCCAGTAGTATTTGCCAGAACTCTGTCAAAACTTGAAGCACTCTTGGTCTGGTCTGTCTTCACTGCTGCCTTTGTCCTGTGCCCGTGGGAATCCTCCATGAGTTGAGTCACTTGTACATGACTGCTGGCTGAAGGTTCAGGGCTGTAGGATTAGAAAAACTTCAGAAAGGAGTTGCTGGAAACATTTTTTTTTAACAATTTTGGAGGAAGGATGCACTTGATAAGATTTTGGGACAAGAAACAATGAACAACGGTGTAGGGTGAAAACATTGAGGAGATAGGTAAGATGGGTCAGTAGGAGGAAAAGGAAGAAAATAGGACCGTGATGCTGGCAAGAGTACAGATAAGCAACATTGAATGAAGTGAAAGAAAGATAAATAAGTAATGAATAGCAAATTGAATGACTAATAGATACTTTGTGACTCCTGATTCTGAATTTGTCTTTTCAGGTATGCCTTGGTAGATTTTGGCTTGGCACAAGGAACCCCTGATACGAAAATTGAGCTTCTTAAAACTGCCCACTCTGAAGACCAGCAGGGAAGTTGCTTGCAAATGAATCCCATAACCTTGGGAAATGGGGCTTCTGTCAGTGTCACAGCACCCAAACAGATAGCTCAACAGTCAGCCTCAAAAGCAGCTGACAGAAGGTCCAGCTCACTTTCAAAAGTACAGATGAAACAAGGAAGAGGAGGAAAGGTTCTCAATCTCTTTCCTTAATGCTGTTGTCTATGTTTAATGTGTTCCTTCATCCAACAGGGGGAGATGCAGTACTTGCACAGAAGCTGAGCCTGCACAGCAGCACGGTGTTCATATCTAAGGAGCCACTTGTACATAACTATTGGCTTCATCATTATCTGTTAGATGTAATACAGTGCTGAAGGCTGTATAAACCCTAACATGAGCTACTATTTAGACAGCCTTAAATCCTTTTTTAGAGGCATGGATGGGGAAACTCCTCCCCAAGCCAAGCCAATAATCATTCACCTATGTTTAGTTACTAGTTGCATAACAAGTGCAATACAGACTGCACTTGGATTGTCTTGGGGCACTTCAGAGGTGTGATTGGTTTTGTAAACATGTTTGCTGTTCTGTCTAGACCATGTTTCTTCATCCACAGTAACCTGATGCCTGAAAATTACTTACATGCAGCTGGTTTAGTTTTGTGACACTCCACACATTTTTTTGAACTGTCAGTACCAGATGCCTGTTAAACAGGATCCTGACTGTCCTTTTTGCTGGTCTGTAGGAGGACTCTGTGCACCATTCTGTCCAGCGCTCTGTCTTCGGAGAGAGGAATTTCAATGTCTACAGCTCCACATACCAGGAGAACTCAAGCACAAAAGTAAGAAGTATTGACTCATCAGTAGGATCAATCTGCTGCATATTAGAAAAAGTATAGAACTGGTTGTTCTGTAAGACAGAGCACTGCTCCAGAATGCTGTGGAACTAAAAGGTTTTGAGCAGACTATTAAACGTGTCTTCCCTGAAAAGCTCAAAGAACTTTTCATTTCTGTTTTAGTCCCTTTTGAAGCTCCTAAACAAGGAGTTCTGTAGCTGTCTCCCTAGCTGATCTTGTTTGGATGCTAAGTTAATCTTTTTTCCTATACATCTATCTGTGCAGCTAATCATAGAATCACAAAATAAATTGAGTTGGAAGGGACCCATGAGGATCATCGAGTCCAACTCCTGGCCCTGCACAGGACACCCCCAGAGTCACACTGTGTGCCTGAGAGCATTGTCCAAACACTTCTAGAGATCTGGCAGGCTGCTGCTGTGACCACTGCCCTGGGGAGCCTGCTCCTGAGCTAAACTACTTCCTACTTACCTTGGGAAATTTAAAAAAAAATATTTTGCAGTTGAAGCTGAGGATAAAACTTATAACTATTGTTTTTGTAATTAGTATTTAATACAACAAGGGGCAAACCCCGACTAATTAGAGGGTTTGGTTTATGGTATTTTATTGTAGAACTAGAGTTAATGTCAGTGTGTTGATGTGTCATTTCATATTCTTTTTTTCTTATTCTCATATTGAGAAAAAAATCTTGAAACAATATAATAACTTGAAAAATATTTGTCTTGTAGCTTCAGAATATCTAATATATATTGGTTTTTTTGTAAACACTGAAAATGTCTTCTGCAGGGGAGGAAGTCAGGCTATCTAGAAAGTTCCAGTGTCTGTTTTATACCAGTAGTTTTTACCAGTAGTTTTGTTACTGTTAGAGAGATTTGCTGTCTGTTCTAAAATTCTTCATGTTCATCAGCACCTGTTAAGTCAGGATTTTAGGACCTGTCCTATCTATATGTAAAAGGAAACTTCTTAAATATCTATGTCACCTTCTCTAAAATATCTCCATTGCAGCTGATAAAACAATCAAAGGTGATAGATGTTTCATCTAGGAAGCTAGTAACAAAGAAGAAGATTATTTCTACCAGAACTGTGAGCAGTGGGGCAGCCAGGAAAGCTGCCAGTGCCTGCCCTTTAAACCTGCCCTGTGACTGTTACGCAACGGACAGAGTCTGCAGTGTTTGCCTTTCAAGGTAATTTGCTTTGATAATGTTGTAAAATTGTCTACTCTGCTGTCAAGCAAAGTCAGAAACTTAGATTTACTAGACTGCTGATTTAGTAAGTGAAATATAGTATTTGATCTCTGCAGCCCTTAAAACACTGAGTATGCTCTTTATAAACAAAAATAGTTGATGGAATTCGTGGATTAGTTCACTGCTATCTGCAGCTAGAACGATTCCCTGGTAATTATTTTCTTGCTGTTGTACTTATTTATTCACCTACATGTGTTGTAGAAAATCACTTGAGTTAATTACAACGCTTAGAAAAGTGTTCTAAATTCTGTCATTTAGTAGTTATCTAATAGGCCTAAATTATAGCAACAGTCAAAAATCATGAAATGTAGAATAGAAAGGAAGCATGACTGTTTTGTATTTGTTCATCTCAAAAACTAAGAGAATCACAGAATGGTTTGGGTTGGAAGCAGGAACCTTAAAGGTCATCTTTTTCCAAGCCCTCTGCCATGGGCAGCTCCCACTGGAGCAGGCAGCTCCAGGCCACATCCTACCTGGCCTTGAGCACTGCCAGGGATGGGCACCCAGCTGCTCTGGGCAGCCTGCTCCAGTGCCTCATGCTGGAGAATCTGAGCAGCTGAGTTCAACTCCATCCCTCTGCAGGTATTTTGGTTATGATCTACTATTGCCTTTTATCCACACATGATCTTTTAAATAATGGTAACCTTGGACCTTTTAGTTAATCTAACAAAAAGTAAATTCCTGGCAACACTCAGAAGAACCCTTAGGTTGCTCTGTACTAACACAAAGTCATAGCATCCACTTTCAAGAATCTCATAGTTTTTGCCTTGGGTTAATTAGCCTCAGCTTCAAAGTTTGCCATGAAAACAAGCCTTTAACAAAAATGGCACTTCTCTTAGATGAATTTAAGAAAAGGTCATTGTGAATTAAGTATGCAATAAGTATTTCCCTGATATTATCTTATGCTAGATAATACAATTAAAATATAATATAATAGATAATTATTATAGGCTATTATGTGTGTATTTTAGGATTTCATGCTAGATAAGATGCTTGAAACCTCTGTAAAACTTGAATAAAGCACAGTTTGGTTGTTTACACATTGTACACAAGTATATTCTAAAAATCATAGTAAGTATTATTAGATTTAGAACTTACTTACCAACTTTTACATTCTAAATATATTTGTCTCTTATTGCAAGGCGTCAGCAAGTGGCTCCCAGGGCAGGAACACCTGGATTCAGAGCACCAGAAGTATTAACAAAGTGCCCCACTCAGACCACAGGTACTGCCCAACAGACTCAAACAAATGGCTTTCTTCACTTGTTCATCCTTCTCATTTATGTATATTTTGTTGTCTATTTTATGGGAGGATTTTTTAACTTGTGAAATTCATTTTTCATCCCTTGTAATGCTTTTCAAGTCTTTCCTGATTTTAATTAAAAGTTTATTATTCAGAGGAAGACAATTCAGGAATAGTTTTCCTGAATTTGAAACTTGAATGTCTTTATTAATTTGAGAGGTAGTACCATGTACAGGAGTTTAATACAATATATTTTAAAAGAAAAAAAAATTTTTTTTAAGTTTCTTGGCTTATTTGTTCAAGAAAAATCTTGAATAAATCTTGGGGAGAGGGAATATTGTTTAGCTTTTTCTAGGCAAGATGTAACTTATGCTGCCATAGCAGGCATAATTAATGTTGTAATTGCAAATGTATTCTAGAAAGCATTATTTAATGACTTTTTATAATAGTTTTACTTTTTGCTGGTGGTTTAAGTAGATGGTGTATAATTGTCATAATGTTTTTGAACTAAAATTTTCATTTCCCTGTGTTAAAGTTTCGTGAATAAGATTCAGTGGTTTGGGTAAATATTGGGGCAGGGCAGAGGGATGGTTAATGCATTACCTGGTGCAAGCAAGGTGGGAGAGGTTGTGCCTACCTGCAGGATGGAGTACCAGTAGAAGCAAAGTTACCCATTAAATATTTGCTGTATGGCCAGGAGTTCTAACTTAGAAAAAAATACAAATATCTCCAAAAACTGGATTTAAGATATAAGGGTTTAGCCATTTTTTTTCTGAATAGCTTTTGAGAAAGCTGTCAGTTTTCAGTAAAGTATGTAAGCACACTCAAAATAGAATTATCAATATATTTGATCAGCTTATGCCTAGGTAGCTTACTGCTGTTTGAAACAGCATCTGTGCTGTGAGTATGACTGGGATTTCGAAGGTATGGCAGCTTGTTTGGAGTTCTTGTGCCTGTGCTGTAACAGCCAGCTTTATGGGCTAGCAGCCATCCAGAAATCTAGGACAAGTTTAGACAATCTCTGAGCCTGTCTAGACAGAAGTGAGGCAGAAAGAAGACGTACCTAGGAAATGTTGGACTCGTGCTGGTGTTAAGCATGCTCTCAGATGGATCTCTGTTCTCTGGGGTAATGAGATTACAAAAAGGAGGGGCAAATCTAGACACCCTTGGGTGTGGCACAGACGTCCCTGGACTGAGTCAGTGGTGCCGAGCTCCTGCAGTACATCAATAAAGCCCTTAACTCAAACTGGGTACACTAATTTTTATGAGACCATGTTTTATTTGAACTAGCAAGGATTACTGTCCACTTTTTATTTGGGGCTGCTGGAGTCACCTTCTTGTTCTTCTGGCAGTGTCACTCCTGGTTTTGGCCTCTGTGCTGACACCAAGTTACTGGCTGAATCCAGCTGACTCTACCCAGAGCTACTACAGCACATCTGACCCAGGTTCACAGTGCTGGGAGTACAACCCAAACTCCCAAGCTGAGGCTACACAGGACCAGTTCCACTTTCCCTTGGTTTGTCCCTTGCTCCCCTTTCCTCACTAGCTGGGTAACACTAGACAACAGCATAGGGAGGAATCATGATTTTCATGTCATTCCACAAGATCTTGCACTCTGCTGATGATCACAGCTCAACTACAATTGTGGGGCCAGGATTTACTGCCCACTCAAATGGATAAAGCCTTATAATTTCAGCAAGAGTTACACAATTAAACCTTCTCAAAGGTCTTGACCTTGATTACTCCAGCTTACCCAACCACATCCTCAGGGGGATGCATGGCCCCTCAAACAGATAGTATTACTGGATCACTGTTGGAAAGATACTAAAACATTTTACAGGAACTGTGCAGAAGGCTGAAAACCTTTCCACTGTAAATTGTGCCAAATTATTAACTTGGATTTTTTTTTTTTTTAATAAAAGACATAAAATCTGGTTTTGCAACTAAAGTCAACCTAATACCTTTTTTCGAAATCAAAGTCCTTTGCTGAGTGTTTCTAATTAGAACATCCAAATTAATTACTGCCTATTTTGCTGCTTACTTTTTTTCAATAGGACTAGGATGAATATGCCTCTATTTCTCAACTGTTAATTTTTCTCTTTGGAGTTTGGGATCTATCCTTCACTTTCCTTGCCATCTCTTAAAATGTGCACCTTAGTGAGCCAAAAAATTATGGCAGACAGGTATTCTTGTAACTTCCAGCACTGAAGTTTCCATCAGGCTTTGGCCTCTGTCCCCAGAGTACTCTCTGTACTCTTCATAACACAATGAAACTGATGAATAACTTTGAACTATTACAGTTTTTAAAGTGCCTATCTTGTCAAGTGAGTTCATATTAGAGAAGAATAAATTTCATAGTAAGATCAATTTCTTAGTGCTGCCTACCTGTGCCAGCTTCAATCCCCCAAAAATTTTCACAAACATTTTTTATTTGTGACCCTTATAGAGGTTTTCTCCATAGAAAGTTAAGTTAAATATTTATCAAACCAGCAATTTCATTTGCCCCTTCTCATCTTCCCAGGTAAAACTACTTCAAACATTGTGTTGGTTCATTTTAAGTTTAGCGAGTTAATGGAATTACTCATATGAAAAAACTCCCTCTGCATTAAAGTAGGAAATTATTCTTCAATCTAATTACAGAAGTTTCCACTATTATCTCTGAAGTATTATCTGTGTGACCAAAGTCAAGAAGTACTTCAGAACATAACTTTTGCTGATAGAAACTTTTCAGATCATAATTTATTTTTAAAGTTGAGATTTTGTTTGTGATGAAATTTTTAGTTATTAATAAATTTGCTTTCCTTTGCAGCAATAGACATGTGGTCTGCAGGAATCATATTCCTTTCTCTACTCAGTGGACGGTATCCATTTTTCAAAGCAAGTGATGATTTAACTGCTTTGGCACAAATCATGACAGTTCGTGGATCCAGAGAAACCATTCAGGCTGCTAGAACTTTTGGTATGCAAACCTTCATTTTGGGGGAAGGGGGGAAATGTTACTTCATACTGTGATTACAATCAATTTTTTTTTGTGTAAATAAATATATTTTTAGGTTTGAGAAGAATTTTGGAAGTAAATCATGTGTTTTGAAGTGTATATTGAGAGACTTTTAAGACAGTTTTGTGTTTTTCTTGTCTTTTACAATGTGTGTATGGGGTACTTTATGTCATAGTTTTCCCAGCCTGTCTACTGCCTTTCACTAAGTCAGGGCTACTTGAGGTGAAGTATGCCAACGAAATGTTTCCTACTGGCATTTGGTTAGAATTCTTGAGACAGTGTTTCTATTTCTACAAAATTTGGCCTGGAGGCTCATGTCAATGTGACTTAAAATTTAGATGATGTAAAGCTTCCTTTTCCCCCACCTCTTTCCCCAGAAGGCCTAGTAAAACAAACAAACAAGCTAAAAACCGAATACCTGGCCTGTTTAAAAAAGACAGAATCACCACAAAACACAAAATATCCAAATAACCATTCCCCTAATTGCTTGCAGGCTAAATGCTGCAGCACTTGCTACCTGGATGTGTAACTGCCAGCATCAATTTTCATTCTCTAGACAGAGGTGTAGAAATTAGGGTATTTAATTGTCTTCAGTTCTGTTTAAATGACAGTGATATGCAAAAAGTTGGTGCACAGGGTGGCTGACAACCCGTCACTACATAACTTGACATAACCCAGAGCTCTTTGTTCTGAGCAGAACTGAGATGATGACCCCTTCCTTCTGACTCTTGGGGGCTGCTTCTGTAGCAGCAGGGCTGGTGTGGAGACATGGGGGGCTGGATTTGGTTCTTTGATAGGTTTGTTTTTCTTTCATGCTGGTTATAATTTGAGACATGAAGTTTCTCAGAAACAAAAGTTACAGTTGCATAGAAAGTATAATAAAATGTGGCTTCCTGTACAACCTTTTTTCTCTAGGAAAATCAGTTGTGTGTACCCAAGTTGTCCCAACTCAAAACCTACGAACCCTCTGTGAAAAGCTGAGAGGAGCAAATAGCAGCTGTAAGGGATCTCAGGGGGAAGGGCCCAGCAGGTCTGAAAACAACACAGCTCTGTCGGTTGCAGCAGACAAACCCTGTGCTCCTGAGACACTTGGAAAACAAATTCAACACTTACAGAGTCTTCAGGAAGGTGATGGTGCTTTGGAAACGAAGGAAACTGACATGAAAGGATGGGATCAGGTTCCTGATGAAGCCTATGACCTGCTTGATAAGCTACTAGACTTAAACCCTGCAACAAGAATAACTGCAAAAGAGGCTTTGCTGCATCCTTTTTTTAAAGACATAAGGCTCTGAGAAGATAACTTACTTTGTTATTCCTTTCATATGTTTTGTAGAACTGAAATACTAAGGCAGTTTTACCTTGTTGCCCTCAACATTTACACTCACTGAAATAACGTCACACTGTGCTCTGAACTACTGAAATTTTGTCTTGTACAGTTGGACTGCAAATGTCAGTTTAAGAAATACTTGCAGATGCAAAAGTTACATAAACATCACTAATGTGCTCTTATCCTAGGACACTTCTGAGAGATTATTGCTGTGCATACCTGTTCTCTAAGAAAGTTAACTTTGATCAAAAACAACAAAGAAAAAGAGTTTCATAAGCTCTATGCTTAATTCTCAAGATATTCCCTTAAAATTTACAAGTTTGCCTTAAGGTATGACTGAAATAAGAAAGTGTTTGAGAGACTTTTTTCTGTACTCGCATATCTCTGCTTTGTTCCTGTTTGGTACATGGGGGACTGAAAATGGAACAAAGAGTATTCATTTTGTTCAGACTATTTTCAGAGAACAGTATTACTTTGGGAGTGTTGCTAGAAGAAAGGCCAGGTGCTAGAGATTATATCATCAAAAGAAAAGCATAACTTTTAAAGTACATTTTTGTCCCTGTCTGGTCTTTGCTACTTAGGAAATAGTAATAAATGCAGTTACTCATTTTGCATGTTTCCTCAGTGCCATGGGTAACTGTCAGTATTCCACAGCTGCTGCCTTCAAGGATGTCGAGTGCCAGGCATAGGTTTTATTTCTGTTATAGAAACTGATTTCTTAAAAAATACCTGTTCAATAAATGATTTGGTTTTATAACTTCAGAAGCTTGTCTAGATATGCTTCTATAAAACTCAGGTAAGGTTTTCCTGTGGGATGTTTCTGTTCAGGGAGTCTTCCACATTGGTTTCCTGCATAAATTCCTCAGTGATAGAAGCCACTTTGGATAGCTCTACGGGGTATGGCTCTTATAGCAGACCTATCCTAATTATCAAGGAACTCTTAGCACAGGGTTAGCTGGCTATTTTCTGGTCCTAAGGAGGAAAATCCTACACCTTCAATGTACAAAGTCAGCTACATCACATTCAACAGAAGTTTCTCTAAACCCCTTGATGATTCGGGAGACTGAAACATAATACAGTGTTTTTCCATGTACATTTCTTGAGTTGCTGATGGAGTTGCTATAAGAGGTTCTTTTGATAACTCCTGTAAAAGCCTTCTCATATGAGCTGATTGTTATGATAGTGCAAAGATCCTGACCAGGACTGGGGCTGAAGAGACAAGATTTCATTATTTTCAAAATCTTGAATACATAGAAAATAATGGTAATGTTGCTCTGTTTCTGGCATCAGCTGTAAGGGGAAAAATATTTGCAGATGTCAGAATATTGATTGCAGAAAATCTTGAAAACCTCAAGACCCTGGGGCCCAGGTCTTGTAATTTTTGCTGTTTATATAATTTCAACACAGCACGTCACTGAGAAATTATTTATCTAAAGGAACTGTGGCCAAATTTGGCAAGCAATGCTGTCTGCCAGTGTCTGCAGATGTATTGTTTCCTCCTACATTCACTCGAGCTGGCTATGGGCTTATGAGAGCACCAGCTGACAACAAGCAAAAATATGTCAGCTATCTCTTGTGAGCTTTCAGGCTTTCCCTGCTAACAGCCTTCAGCAGCTCCTCCCCTCAGACCCACAGCAAGTAACCTCTGCATTCGTTTGAAAGCCAAAAAGGAAAAATCATTGCTAATGGTATTTTTACCAAAACACTAAGGGTAAATGAAACTTGTGAGGAACAGTTCTAAGTTCTGTGTATTCCATAACAAGCTGGAAAAACACATTGGTATTCCTTTTTCCAGTCAGCTATTTAAAATGTGGAGAATTCTTTTTTCAAGTAGAAGGATGAAGTAAAAAGAAAAGTGTGCTTGAACTAGCATATGCTAAGGAAGTACTTTTTGCCACACTCTACAGAAGAAAGCTAGAAGCAAAATGTTAAATGCAATGGGCTCTTACAGGCAAAAAAAACCCCCAAAAACCAAAACATAAAAAGATTAAGGAAAAGAGCAAGAAAACAATACAGCTGAGCAGTGGTTGCCACTGGATTTTCTGCTTCTCTCTGCTGTGTTTCTAAGAATCTCTAAAAACCATAGGTAAGAGCCAAGTCCTAAGATTCCTTTAAAGTTTAAACACATGATTTGAGATATTTATAAACTGAACACGAATCTTGTACCATGAGAGCTGCAATTAGAAAAAATTCTGCACAGAAATTACATTGCTTCAACAAATGTTCACTGGTTGTGAGGTCACAGCTGGGTGAGTGTTAAGTTCTGGACACCATCTATGACAAGGTTAGTAACTAATTGGGCAGAAACCAAAAATGGCAGCAAAAAGCTGCATGGGCTTGGAGAGATGAATACAAACTGATAGCTAGAATTCTGAGAACAGAATGCTGGGAGCAAATCTAAATACATCTGTGTATTTAGCATAGGGAAGACTAGCTTATTCTCAGTACTAAGCCAGACTAGGTGAGGAAACTGACATGTTTATTATGTTCATCCTAGTTGAAAAGGGTAACAAATGCATATTAATATTTATTTTCCTATCACCTTTCTGGCCATTACATTCTACTAGTAAGCAAAACACAAAGAACGAAAAAAAAATCTTCAGAGCTTGCCTCATATATTTGTTGGTGATGAAAAGGTATGTTCTGAATGAGGTGATATAAACAGTGCTTGCATTTAGCAGGGGACACCTGAATTTTTCTTTCCGCCTCATGAAGGCAGACCACACAAGGCAACTGAAGTAAAAGAAAAAACCTCAACAACCCAGTTTCCTCATTTGCTCAGTTTTACACCACATTTAAAAGCTTGGCTGTGTAGAGAAAATGACTAACCTTTCAAATCACTTAATAGAACAACAACATTTTAAAGGAAATTAGTACTTTATGGCTTCATGAATTCCAAATCTATAATGAAACTATGCAAGTGGTAGGCTTAGAGCAAGGACAGTTCTCTTGAGACATTACTGAAGCAATGCTCTTCCTGCAGCATAATTGTAAACGTTCTTTGGTTGGGTGTTTCTAATATTTATTTTTTTTAGAGCACATAGTAAATTATTCTACTAATGTAGCCACAGCATGTTCACTTCAAAATTCACTTGTAGCTTATCCGGAAAACAGAGCATGTCCCAGGTCAGTGGCAGTACATATGTGGCTCATACCCCTCTCTGCTGCTGCGTTCCTGGCTGGCCAGTTCAAGGAGTAGTAAATATTTAAATTGGCAGCCTGCACACAGTGGGTGGAAAGTGGATAGTCCCTTTGATCATAGGCTTACAAAGGCCAGCATATAGAGTTTTGTTACCCTGGTAACAAAAAAATTCTGGTACTGCTGAGCTGAGGGTCCAGTAAATTGGATATTTTGCATCAGCATAACCTAGATAACCAAGGGTTTTTAAATACGCCTGTTGTATGCTCAATTCTGCCTCTCCATGACTCAACCCTTTCTACTTTCATGTCCACTGACTGCTAGAATTATCCCTATACAATGGTTTATTGTATCATGTTAAAAACTAACCACTCTATGCATTCCTCAGTATCCCCAGAGTATTGTTTATTCCATTTATGGAAGGACTGACATCTTCCTGTGGGGATACAGCAGGGAAGAGAGTGGTTTTGTTACATGTTACTTGGTTTCTTGCATAAAGTTCTTCCATAGTTTTCAGAAGAGTCATATTTTAATCTAAAACCTAATTAAACTTCTCTTTCAAAAATTCTAGAGCTAAAAGTGCTTTGCATAAGGTATTAATTTGCTCCATGTCTTTTATATAGCATAAACAAAGTAACTGTAACAAATAATGCATAATTAGTTTTATTTCCTGATGTGATGAGATAAGGATGTAGCCCAACAACTGACATTTAAAAAATCAGGATCTTAGGAGGAAAGGTTAAGTGATTGATGTAATGAATGCCACAGGTCATGTGTAGCAGCAGGCAGCTCATTGATAAAACCTCTCTTCTACTTCCCATTCCTGTTTTTTCTCACCATCTCCCCCCAAAAACTCTGCTCAGATGCAGTGTGTGTTGCTATAAGGCATTTGGCTTTAATCATTCTTTGCTGCTTTAAGTGTTACTGTGTGTTATGTGAAAAGTACCAATTATTTCCAAGTGTCCTGGGAGTCCTCTTGAGCCCTGCTCCTGTTTTTCTGTTTACTTGTTCCAAAGAGCTCAGTTTCCTTATCAAAGCCCCCTCCCACTTGAACTTGGTAGTAGAGGTAAGAAATTCTAAATTTCTCTGTAGCATTTCAGTTTTCTTGTCTGTAGTCTTCTCTTATCAGATCTAGGAATGCCAATTTCAAAGAGAACTGCTGAAATGTCTACTGTGTGAGTATACACTTGTCAGGAGGAAAGCACTGAGGGGAGACTGAGTAGTGTGGATCTCAAGAGGACACACAATGCTACAGCCAGGCATTTTTCTTGCTCTATAAACAATATCTTTTTTCTTCACCAGATTGATATTAATCTATAAAATGTTTTCAAACTTTCTTTCAAAACTCTGAGAAGTTACCCACCTTCTGAAGGCCAGCCCACTTTCATGGGCTGTGTTAGCTGCATGTGGAGCTCCTTGCACATCCCAGAAGTGAGGGGATTACAATGGCTCACTTACTGCAGCAGGGAAAACACAGCATTATAGAGTATCCCGAGCTGCTAAGGACCTACCAGGACCATCAACTCCAACTCCTGACCCTCCCAAGAGTCACACCATGGGCCCGAGAGCGTTATCCAAATGCTTCTTGAACTCAGACATATTGTGGATTTTTTTGTTCTTTTAGTGCATTTAATGGATAATTTAATTTAATACTAAACTGTGGTATTTACTATGGACAATTGACCAGGACACAGAGTTGTCCTGCACACAGCTTACAGCCAAGCAGTTATTGCCTGCTGGGATCCTTCATAACTTGGCATATGTTTTCCATTGCAGATCTGCTTACAACTAGTTCTGGAACTCTGTAACTTGAGTCACATTCATTGCAGTTGCTTAATGAAAAAACAGTGTGCAGTTTGAATTTATAGGTATTTACCCCAGCTGTCTTTGTAAAACTGACAGTATTCTGAAATATTCACTTAGAGGCAGCCCGTGCTGGGAGGGGAGGAAGGTCTGTGTTAATTACCTCTCCTTAGCTCAGCTTTTTGTTCACTAAAAATCAATGCTTTTATTAATTTGCTGCATTG